CCAAGGAGGGATCGTCTTTACGGACCGCGAGAAGTAGCTGCGGCACCGCACGTGACCAGACAGCTTATAACTCTGAATTCCAATTGAAGCTGGAGAGTTAACGTGACTAAATTTGGTCCAGGAACGTGGAGGCTGCACTCATTCTCATGTTGCTCCGGTACTTATCGCTATGGTAGTGTCGATTGTAATAGGGCCTGCCCCCCAAGTTATATAATATTTTGATATTTATTGATCATGGGCTCAATGAAAATGTGTTTTCTGGTGCGCAGTAACATGTAGGTGCTGTAGAACGCCGTCGGTTGGGCGAGCGCCCCCGCCTCCCCCTCAGGACGAGATGCTGCCTTGCTGTTGTGTGGCGAGCTTGGCACGGCCACGCCTGGTGGAGTCCAAGACGTGCCGACGCTGGCCCGGGCGGCGACTCAGGGCGAGACGTCCGCGGACCGTCAGCAGCAGCCGCACGCCCCCTCATCCCCGCCTCTCGCCCCTCCCCGCACACCCGACCCAGCGAACAGCTCTTCGTGTAGAGGGCGCACTCTCGGCATGCAAGACCCGACCGAAGGTGTTCGCCGCATTATGCCCCCACGCACCTCGCTCGCGCTACCACGCCTCACGTCACCCCACCCCTCGCACGACCCCCGCCTCCCCCGCAACAGGAGAACTGTCTCATCGAGAGAAAAGGCAAGAAAGTGACGAGAAGCGAGCGGGGCCCGTCACCAGACCAGGCGGGGAGCGCCAGACGGGGGTCGGTTGCTATCGGTTAGCGGCCACGCCGCATCACGTCACGTCCATGGGTGTAGAAAGGCGCCGGGATGCATGCTGTCGTGGGGAAATCCTCATGGGCACGTGTGTACATAGGTCCGTTTTTTTACGTAATTTTTTCTAAGTATACTCGCGGCAGGTGGGACCCCCACCCCCACCGCACGACGGACGTTTTATTGTCTACATTCCAATAGCGAAACATTCCATAATTCTCGGTGTGTGTATATATATATTATATATATACCACGTATTATGTATGTGTAAGGCCAGCTCCTGTCTTTCATGATCATGTGACGCAGCGGAACGCAAGCTGAGTGCTGGCGTTGTACTAATCACATGTTGCTCGATTGTATGTGACCTGGCAGGAGTTGGCACAGACGCGCCGTCTTATATGCGTGGGGTTTTTATAAGAGCCGGTGACATGGAGGCCGGCGTGTATAATTAAGCAACACGTTTTAGAGTAGTCGTGTAGGCGGGGCGCGTGTGTCTGTAGATTGAAGGTTGAAGTGTCGACACACTGTTACGACATAACAGTGAAATTCAACGTAGACTAAGATCTTATTTTTTGCTGCATTTTAACAAATCATTGATTGAATTTCCCCGTTATCATTGTGTCAACCTGAAAAGACGATTTTATGCAGGGATATTCAAAGATTATTATTTACATCGAACGTTATTTGATAAACTACAGTATCCTGTTCGTACGAGATTATGACTCAGCAGTGCTGCCCTCTATCCAGGCAGCTTGAGTTGATCTCTAATAGTAATATCAAGGAGTAATAATGACAAATTTGTCATTGATTAAGCTCCTGAGTAATGTGTTTGTATTATTCACACTCGAGCTAACATAATTGCCAATGTTGAGCTTGTGATTCAATATTTTTGAATATTACATCTTGACCATACATATGCGTTATCTGTCTACTGATGTTAATGCTGTTCGCCGTGATTTCAATAAATAAACACAAAATGCGGTGAATTATAGTTTCAAATTAAACCACAACATTACATAATTTCTTCAACATATGTTACAATTATCTGTAAATAGTAGATGTCATCCAGGTCTCCTGTCTCTGGCTGTCTCATTCCGTTGTCGCAATTCACTCAGTCCATTAACTGTCTCTCTCGTCCTCCTCTCTCTCTCTCTGATGTGTACTATCTGTCTCTGCCTATCTCTGCTCTGTCTAATCATCGCCCATAAATCTCTGGTCACCTCCACTCCAGCAACAGTAACCTGGAGTACCTAGCAGTAATAATGTACGCATAATAGAATATCAACCATCAGCGAAAAATCCAAGAAAGAAAACTAATACCTTTTTCATTCATGAATCTGTATGTCATGCTATTTGCTTATCTATCTAGATCTGATTGATGTCCTATCTATTTATATGTACTTTAATCTATATCCATACCAGGTTATATTCTCTTGGGAATAAGTGATCCCCCCCGTCTCCCCAAATGCTGATCGACTATACACGGCATCGTTAGCACGGTGAATTTTATTAAAAGGCAAATGGCTGGTTTCAGCCACAGAACCTTTTTTTCGCGCCGCCAAAGCACAAAAATATGATTATACGGCTATAATATCACTCGGTGTTTTGGCAGTCCACAGAAACACATACGGCAACATTAACGGACGCGCACGCCGCGGGATATGTTCCCACGCACAGGCGTGCGCGTGTAATATAGGCCGTAAATTAGCGCTTCCGCTGCTCACCCTCTTCCCTCTTCCTGTAGCTCTCACTCCTCCTCTCATCTTCGCGCAATATTTTCCACGCACGCACGCACTGCACGCATACACTACACTTTCTCCCTCTCTCTCTCTCTTCTCCATGTCATCTGTCCATGTCTCTCTCTTCTCTCTCGCTATGTCTGTCTCCCTCTGCTCCCGCAATATTTATCAGCACCACGCACGCAACGCACGCCCGCATGACACATACATGCACACACACACATTCTCCTCGTCTCTCTCACTTCTCCGTTCTTCTCTCTCGTCACGTCTCCCGTATTCTCTTCTCATCCGCAATTTTCTCTCTTTCTCGGCGCGCTATATATATACTGACGCATATTGTGTGTGTATATATATATATATATATATATATATGCTTGCTTTTTTCCGTTTCTCTTCCTTGCTCAGTTCCTTACTCCCCTATCGCGGATAGTATCGTCCACGTCGTCACTCGCACGGTGAAATGTTTGCCAGCAAAATGACCGTATTTCAGCTAAAAAAAATTCACCCCCCGAGGCACAAAATGTGAATTTACGCCTATAATACACGCGCACGCGTGCGTGCCACCATACCCGCGTGTGCGCGTTCGTTAGTGTGTGTGTATGTGTGGGTTTGTGTGACTGTAAAAACTCGATTATAGCCGTATAATCATATTTTGTGCTTTGGAGGGGTGAAAAAGTTGAGGCTGAAAAGCGGCCATTTGCCTGGCTAACTTTTCACCGTGCAACTGATGCCATGGGCGATACTATCCGCGAGAGGGGAAGGGAAATTCTGAGAGAAAGGAAGTGAGAGGGGCGGAGGAAAGAAATAGAAGAGAGAAAGGAGAGAGGGACAGAGGGAGGGATGAATGCAGACGGAGATGTGCACATGTATGCGCAGTACACACGCGCAGACAAACGCACGTACGGCACAAACGGCACACACACAGGCACGGATGCACATATTCCTTCTAACATAGTTACTGCTCTCTCCTTTCCGCTCACCCTCTCCCTCTCCGTAACTCTCACTCTCTCTCTCTCTCTCTTTCTCTCTCTCCCGCAATATTTCTCACGCATGCACACACATACATACACACAGACAGTCTCTCTCACTCTCTCTGTATCTCTCGCTCGCCCTTGCTCACTTCCTTACTCCCCTCTCATGGATAGTATCGTCTACGGCATCGGTGGCCTACTGCTCTCGCCTTTCCGCTCACCCTTTTCCTCTCCTTAACTCTCACCTTTTCTTTCTCTCTCCCTGACACACACACACACACACACACACACACACACACACACACACACACACCAACACACACACACACACACACACACACACACACACACCGCCCATCGCGCGCGGCGCGCGCCGCGTTTTCTCTTTTCATCTTATCGCTCTCTCTCTCTCTCTCTCTTCTCTCTCTCTCTCTCTCTCTCTCTTCTCTCTCTGTCTGTCTCTCTCTTTGTGTCGCCAATTTTTATCTCTCTCTCGGCGCTGTATAGTATATACACATCAACGGATATATATAATAAGAAACGGAAAAAGGCGCAGATATTATATATATATATATATATTTATATATATATACTCGCCTTTTTCCGTTTCTTTCCCTTGCTCACTTCCTTACTCCCCTCTCGCGGATAGTATCGTCCACGATGTCATTCGCAGGGTGAAAAGTTTGCAAACAAAATGACCGTATTTCAGCTGAAACTTTTTCACCCCCCCGAGGACACATCGAAACTCCTACTTTATCCCCGCCCGCCATTTCATTTGACTCCATAGTCGCACGCTCAGCCTCCTTCTCCTTCCATCGCTCCTCGACTGTCTTCCCTGCCACTTTCTCTCAGTTTCCCACTCCTCTCTCCCTCAGCAAGGCTCATAGAGTCTAGGTCCCCTAGGGTACTGCCGGAACGTACCCTGGTAACTATCTAGCTGATATGGTTAGGGTTAGGGTTAGGCTTAGAGAGTAGGCGTAGGCGACTCCCTAGACTCGTTAGTGTCTTTAGGAGTTTTGTTAGGGCCGTTCTTATACGTTCAAAGTGGAGCCGGGCAGGCTGATAGCACGTGTGCATGGTAAAATTTGATCTACATGCTTCACTTCGCTCGCAGCATCGCGCCACGATTCCCAGCTATGCTAATGTATGGGCAAATGGCGCTGCGACGTCGGTCGCCGTTGACTTCCAAGATAATTTTCTTCGGCCGTTCTTATACGTTCAAACTGAAGCCGGGCAGGCTGACAGCACGTGTGCATGGTAAAATCTGATATAAAATATTCACTTTGCTCGCAGCATCACGTCCTGGGTTTCCCGCTATGCTAATATTAATGTACATGAAGGTGGCGCTCGTGCGTCGGTCACCGTTGACTGCCAAGAGAATTTTCTTCGGCCGTTCTCATGCGTTCAAACTAGTCGCGGGCGGGCCGACGGCACGTGTGCATGGTAAAATCTGATCTACATGCTTCATTTCGCTCATAGCATTGCGCTACGATTCCCAGCTATGCTAATGAATGCGCAAATGGCGCGGCGCGGTCGGTCGCCGTTGACTTCCAAGATAATTTTCTTCGGCCGTTCTTATACGTTCAAACTGGAGCAGGGCAGGTTGACAGCACGTGTGCATGGTAAAATCTGATTTACATGCTTCACTTCGCTCGCAGCATCGCGCCACGATTCCCAGCTATGCTAATGTAAGAGCAAATGGCGCTGCGACGTCGGTCGCAGTTGACTGCCAAGATAATATTCTTCGGCCGTTCTTATACGTTCGATTTTATACATCGATTTATGTAATAAATTATTATCAGTAGACCTGGGTTTATAGATATGAGAGCGCCCTAGTCTGTAGAGTGTAA